AGAGATGTCTATAGAAAACCTACATCTGTAGGACAATATACACATTTCCTCGGTTTTGTACCAATCCGATACAAAATCAATTTGGTCAGATGCCTCACGAATAGAGCAAGACGTTTCTGTACAGATGACTCCCTAGAAAATGAGCTAGGATACATCCAAAATACGCTGGTCCAAATGGGTTATCCTAGTAGATTTGTAAGGGGACACATGAATACCAGGTACAATAAAGAAAAACTGACAACAGTTGAAAAGAAACAACTGTTCATGAAACTGCAATTTAATGGGGACGTGGCTAGCGAAGTCTTACATCTGAGATTATTGAGAGCGATAAAACGGACTTATACTGCCGCCACCCTTTGTTTGTCATTTTCCAGCCGACCAATTTTGATTGCTCCAGTGAAAGATAAGCTACCTACCTAGCTGTGCCACTTCGATGTGTATCTATAAATTTAGTTGCTCCTGTGGAGAAAGCTATATAGGGCGAACAACTAGACAGCTTAATAAACGCATTAATGAGCATCTTCCTTCATGGTTCGGAAAAGGTCAAATAAAATCCATACGAATTTCTATTTTGGCTCATTTGATTGATAGCGGTCACCAAGTGGACAAAAATAGTGCCTTCAAAGTTATCTATCGCATTCCATCGAGTCTTTCGAACGGAATCAGAACCCGTCTTTTACACTTAGCCGGAGCTATGGGAATTAATTCGAGAGAACAATCCTAGTCTTTGCATACAAAAGAAGTTTGTTCTACCTTTGTCTCTCCCTTGCTTAGCCTAGGTGAATTCTATTCAAAACCCTCCCACCCTTTCTTATCTTCCATTTCCTTCGTACTTTTATGATATTTATTTAAACTCTGATTATCGTTCCACTTCAGCTTTTAAGATTTGACCTAATTTATTTATTTATTGAATTGTCTACATATACACATGTATACATATACTACCTTTGTTATTCTTATCGCCACCTGCATAAACCTTATTATCAATATTTCGTTATCATTATAATCATCGTTATTAATTTCGTTCAAAACATTTACCACATTATTATTGTTATTATTATTATTTGATCCACAAAATCACCGTCATTGGTTAAATTTTTTTATGTATAATTCTATGTAAATTAGAGTAAAGCCTGAAGAAGATCTTATTGGAAACAGCAATATTGTTCGCTTATATGTCTTGTTCTTATGTTATAAATGGGAATATTTAAAAATTTGAAATTAAGAATCTATTATTCAACAAATATGTCAAGAAGAAAATGGAGATGTTTCGGACACAGACTGAGGGGACAATCGGGTGGCATTGCACGTCAGGCATAAAACTCTAGTGGAACCCGAATGGGAAACAACGAGCTGGACGTACGTCCAAGGGTGACATAGAGTAGGTGCTGTGAGGAGTCCATGAGAGATTATGGGCAGGCAAAGATGACCGCAGACAAAAGGACAAATCGGAGATGTGCTGTTGAAAAATAATAATATAACATAAGCGAAGACTTGATTGAATAAAGTTCCTATAAATGATTACGAAAGACAAAATCAATCAATCTCTGGTAAAGGTGGTAAATGTGAGCCACACTTTATGTGGCAAAGTTGGACTGCATTCAATGAAAATTGTTATCTACATTCATACTACTCATAAGTAACGACAGTTAACTTAATAAAATTTACACTGAATTATAAATGTATATGTGATGAGTTCACTTACGAGAACTTCTTCGCAGCTGAACTACGACTTACCTTCTTCACAAAACCTGTGATTCGTATGAACGTGAAGTATAAGCTACCACCGTTGGCCAGCCTCATCAATGTGCATCTACCAATTCACCTGTTCGTGTGAAGCCGCCGTTCGCTTACCAAAAGTGTCACCGAACACCAACATGGCTTTATAGAGGAGAAAATCGATGCCCCCACAGCTCTAAATTAGAACATCTGATAGATTTCGGACACCAAGCTAAACCCCAAACAAACTTCGAAGTCGTCTACAGAATACGAAGCAGTCTTCCTAAAAGTGTACGAGTCAAACTTCTCCAAAGCGCAGAAGCAATGGCACTTGCTAAATCCTGAACTCTGCATACAGAAGAAGTTCGTTCAATCACTACACTTGAAATGGGCGTAATCTATCTTGATACCCGACAGGTGAATTCTATTTCTTTCTTTCTATCTCTTCATTAGTATTATTTTGTCTTTTCAATTGTAATATTTTACATTTTCAAGTTTTCTGTTCTCTACCCCTACCCGATTTAATTTCTGCACCTCATTACCACTGTTACTGACTTGATCAACGCTCAATTTCTAGTCATTTAGGTTACGTCATATAACTTAATAACTTAATCTCACTTTAAGTTGCTGTATAATTAACTTAGTATCTGTATTAGATCATTCTTGTATTACTTGATCAATTATCTAAACTTGACAAACCTCATGTACACACACACATAAACACACAAATAATTGTATATGAATGCGATTGTACAGCTATGTGAATGAATTCGCCGTCGAAAAGAGTCTTTTCGCTGAACGTCTTCTCTTTTTCATATGACTCAAATGGGATTTTTAAGCTATCTGATGAGTGAACACACACACACACACATAGACATATGATTCAAATACCACATTAAGAGCAACACTTAGCTGAAGTAGGTGGAGAGGAACTCAAACCTAAAGTGTCAGTGGCTGGAATTTTATTGCTTACATCAGTGTAGTTGTACTTTCATATGTCAAAGACTAATGAAACAATCTATATATTCACAGAAACACATGTACAGTAGTCAACATCATGGAACATAATTATGGACCATTAAAAAAATAATTCCATGATGGTGGCGTCCTTATCAAATTACTTCCTTGTTTGCTTGTGACCTTAAGGTCCTGGTTCGAACTTTGGCGATGGTGCGTACTGCCGATGATTCCCAAACTAGGATGAAACAGCTGTCTAGTAGTCCAGTGCTGGTCTTCAATGGTTCTCTAACTGATATCAGTCCGTGATCAACTCGTAAAAATATAAGTCTATGTAAATTAGAGTAAAGCCTGATGAAGATCTAATTGAAAACAATATTGTTCGCTTATATGTCTTTTTCCAATATAATTGTGAATGCAGAAACATGAATGAACGTGGAATATAATTCTGAATACAAAAAACATGAATGAGCAAAAAAAAAATAATGAGCTATATACATGAATACGAATAATAAATATGTGAACAAAACAATTACGACAGTGGTGTGAACACGGGCAGTAATTTTGCGTGAAATATTACCAAAACAAAAAAACTTATCATTGTGTGTAAACTATTAAAATATTTATTATACTTTATTTGATCTAATCCACAATGCTCAAACTTTTTACTGATATTATTGCATTGATTTATTTTTGATCAGTTGGTAAATTTGATCCATAATAAATGTGTCTGTTAATTGCTGATTCATCTGAGTTCCAGGCTTCTAGAAATTCCCTAGCAGTATTCTTGGTGTTTTCTCTGTTTAAAAATCTCTACTTTTTTCCATTCAAACTGGTGTCCATAATTGTCTACATGTATCAATATGAAAGAATATGCGTCGTGTCTTATCACAGCTGACTCGTAATGATGTCAGTCTTAAAAATAAAAATAATTTTGTATCTCATTGAACTAAGTGCGACTCTTCACTTAACAATTTGTAGAGTCCACTTCTATTCAATCTACTCTCACAGATTTCTAACACTTCTATACTATATGTTCTTATTTCTTCTGCAATCGGAATAGTCTTATCGACTTTACATATAGTGTGGGCGCTCCACGCCCCCCCCCCCCTAGGCCACATGTCTACTTGTGCTTCCATTAAAAAAAAAGACTTATCGGCTGACGGACTTCCAGGAGATTCTCATCAACCGGTCTCATCCGTTCTCGAAATGAGGAGTCTTCCCTATTCCAATTTTGTTTGTGTGTGCTTTAAAGTACCACTTGTGATGAGAGTGTTTTTCATTGAGCTCGGTTGCTACCCCCCCCCCCGCAAAGACACACACCCAACCACTATTCCGATACTTAAGACACTGACTAGTTAACTAGGCGAGTGTTTTTTAGGGCTTTAGTTTATTACCTCACCTGGCACATCGGGTTCAGAGTGATCAAGAATGCCCCAGTGACTCTGGTTGGAGGCTCTCCATTGCATCTTAATGGGATTGAGACTCGTAACGTATCCTAATCAGGTTCTCCTAAGCGTTTATTTTTTTCCTCAGTGAGGGGAGATTTCACAGTCCTCTCTTTAACCAGAGGTACTGTTTGGAATAAAACCATTATTATTATTATTAGAAGTTAATTGATGGATGGTAACTAGCAGTGGAATCCAGGATATGCGTTTCATCCTATTTGGGACTCGTCATCTGGGTGTACCTTCTGTGGAAACACCATCACTCAATGACTGGGGGATGCAGGTACATCCAGCTAACGGGACCCAAATAGGACGAAATGCGCATCGTGGATTCCACTGCTAGTCGCCATCAACAATTTGACTTCAAGTTATATGCCCAAACATCGTCGAGGCATCTGCACAAGAAGCCAACAGACATATCAACCTGAGACCGAGCACTTCGGTCCAATCAATCGACGGGAAAATCTAAAATTCAATTGAATAACTAATATGATCCGTTGCACAAGAGACAGTGGCTCTCGTGGCCCAAGTGGTCTAGTGGATAATGCTTTGGCGTTTGAAACTACGGGTACTGGGTTTGAGCCTCGGTGGGAACATCATCACTCACTGGGAAATGCAGGTACATCCAGATTAAGAGTCTCAAATAGGACGAAATAAGTGTTATCCTGGATTACTCCACTGCTAGCCACCATCCACCAATTAACTTCTAATTCAATGCCCAGACATCGTCGAAGCATCTGCACAAGAAGCCAACCTAAAACCGAGCACTTCGGTCCAATCAATCTGCAAGAAAACCTAGAATTGAATTAAACATTATTATTACTATTATTATTAATGTTCTTTTATATACTTCCTGTTGATCTTTTAATTCAACAGATATTCTTGGTGATGGAAAAATCAAACCACGGGATTTCTACACTGGACCACCATGGATATTAGGTGCACGAAATGAATACCAGCGTGTATGTGGTCGACTGAATAATGCAGCTATTGTTGCATGGATGGAAGAATTTGAACCGTCCAAATTGCAAGATGAATATAAATTACAAAGATATCTATATAAGAAGATGAATAAACGTAAAAATATCAAATTTCAACGATATCGTGATTCACCATAGTTTCATCATTTTATTACATTGCGTTTATCTCTTTTTTTGGTTTGTTTAAATATTTTGTACATATAGGTGTATAAATAATTGAATAAATTATTATTATTATCTGCTTTAGTTCTTAGAGAGAAATATAAGGCTTCAGCCGCGCACGTCTCCATTGAGTTCGGTCCTCCGCCAACATTTTCATCACCTGGCTCCACACGTCTGACCACATGCCTTCATCTACTCTTCGCATGACTTCCTCCTCCATGTCAGCCTCACACTGACGATCAAATAGAGCGTGTTGTTTGTGCTGATTTCATTCCCTATTACCTGTTCCCTCTTACTGTGTATTGTTCTCATTAATGATTGGATTATATAGGCTGGAGTGCTTGTAGTTTTAATGAGAAGTCCTCATAACCGTTGTGGCCTACCATGCCAAGCTGAAGCTGATTGGTTGGAGGATTTCATCATGAGCTGACATCAGTTAGGGAGCCATTGAAAAATCAGTTTCGGTTACTAGACAGTTGTTTCGTCCTAGTTTGTGACTCTTCAGTAGTACGCACTCACCACAAGGGTTTGAACCCACGACCTTCTGGTTACAAATCTAGCGAGCTCGTAGACCATTAAGCCACTGGGACTCGATCCAATGGCCAGTCCATGAATTCTAACTCCTGCCAATTCATGACATAGCGCGACTACTTCGAAATGTTTTCTTCGATGAGTTACTGCCTCATCTTCAACTTGCTGCACCCTACTGGTCACGGCTTCCCACCAGAACCCCAGGGTTAACTGCCTGAATAGGGCCAGTTGCTACTGAGCATCAGATTAGTTTCCGGAGTATTAGTTTTGTAGGGAATTTTGTTTGTTTGGTTGGTTGGAGAATTTCATCATGAGCTGACATCAGTTTGAACCCCAATGGGTGCATACCGCTGAAGAAAGCCAAACTGGGCTCATTTTATGAAATCCCCCAACCAATCAAACAAAATTCCCTACAAGACTAATACTTGAAATGAAGTAATTTGATTGACGTCATATAATTGACGGGACTGAGTGGAATTCAAGTAAAATTTGAACGAGAGTTCAGTTGATAACAGTGGTGATGAGTGGTAGAGATTTAATAGGAGGTGGGTGAAGAAAATCACATAACTAAAAAAGAAAAAATCCAGAAATTACCATTCGGTGCAATTTAAGATCAGGTCCATTGTGTATTAATTAATTAAGTGACTAAACAAACTTCCTTTGTATGCAGAGTTCAGGATTCGACATATGAATGAATAGCTATTGCTTCTGCGGTTTGAGGGAATTTGCTGTGTACTCTTTTAGTATGATTCCCACGTATTCTGTAGATAACTTTGAAGTTGTTCCTTTGTGAGTTAGCTTGGTGTGCAGATTCGATAAGGTGTTCCCATGACTGTGGGTAAGTGTTCGATGATACACCTTTGGATAACAAACGCTTATTGCGGCCGACATACTTAGCTAGCTCCACACAAGCAGATCAGTTGATAGATGCACATTGATGAGGCTGGCCAACAGTGGTAGCTTATCCTTCACGTTTATGCGAATCATTGGTTTCGTAGAAAAAGTTATTCAAAATTCAGCCGCGAAGAAGGCTTTTTTGACTAAGCAGGACAGGCGGGTTTTTAGTATTTCTGATGAGGAGTCTCTGTTGAATTGTAGACTCAAGTAGAGTAGAGAAGTCTTTTAGGAGCAGAAAATGGTGTGACCAGTTTCAGGGGATTTTGTAATGAAACATTTTGCCTGTTGATGGTGATTGGTGTCTTCTTTTCATCCAAGTGAATTATTTTTTTTCTACCGCCTCGTCTGTCAGACAGAATCTTCTAGGCATTTTAGCGTCCCGCGCATATATCCGTCATCTCCCTTCCTACAGTCTATCACTCGTGGTAGTCAGCACTATAACATCTCACACTCATGTTTGTACGGAGGACAACCGTATTTGAAATCGATTGCATTGAGAATAAAACTGCAGTTTGAGTATATAAATTCTTCGGATACAGTATATACATTGAAGAGGTGGACAATACAGCGAGGAGAAACGCTTATTGCACTTATTACAGTTTTCGTGGCAGAATCAATAGTCTGCAAGACTACTACGTGACCAATATCTAAACAACTTTCTTATCATAATAGTTAAGTTACTTGGTAAAAGAATTTGATTCCAATTAGTGTCTCCAAGTTTTTTTTCTTTTTTGTTATTTTACTGATAACGGAGTTCGACTCATTTTTGTCTTTCTCCTGAGTAGATTAGTTGACACGATTTACTAATTACTTAAGAGATTCTGTGTAATTATTGATTAATAGAAATACACCACACGGATTTTATTTTCAGACCCACAGACAATATGGACAGATCAGTTGTGGTTATAAATTATAATAAAAAAGGCATACACGATGCTCTATAAGCAAAAACAAGATGTGATGTGAAAATTTCTCACACAGATTCACAGACTTCTAAGGATAAACATGACATTTCAAGGTGGCTTTCGTTGAAGACAATCAGGGTGTAGGGGAGAGCTGTTCCTATTTTGGGACTCCTTAGTAGCAGACACTGATTGGAGTTCGAACGCACGACCTTCTGGCCATATGATGAGCTTGTAGATCATTCAGCCACTGGGATACTGCCCTCACACACGACCTGCTGTATCCCACTGGTCACGGCTTCTCACCAGAACTCGCAGGTAACTACCCACCTGAATGGGGTAAGTCACTAGTGAGCATCAGATTGGTATTCAACTGTTGGTTTTCAGGGATTTCATTTGATTAGTTAGAGAATTTCATCAAAACAATCAACTGTTAGATGTTAGCAACAAGATATCTTAGTTTTGAAGGGGGGAGGGGTGAAAATAACTATGCAATTCAAGATCAGTTAGTTTGTTGCGGGGGTGGGTGGGTAACAACAAGTTATTGCGTAATCGAGAAATTCATAAAATGATAATGACTAAGTAGAATTGCGCAAGATGCAAACAAGTCAACTGAATTAGCTAGGATAGTAATCATAATAAAATAACAATGTCAAGAGATTGTCACAAGGAGAGGGGAAAAATCGTTTTCAGAAAACCTAATACAAAATATGTAGTTGGCCAAGGTAAAGAGAGGCGCTGCACAAATTTCTTTTAAATACACAGATATGGTCTGTTCAGATGAATTCCGACTGCCTCTACTGTATATAAAAGTTGTACTCGTAGACCATACGGCGAGAGATTGGGTGATATACGATAAATAACTTTAGAGGCTTTGTTAGAGTCTTTCATGTCTCGTATCGTCGAGATGAGCTAGTATTCAACTGCGTATAGCTTAATTCGGACCTTTGACAAACCAAGATGTGAGGTGTTCAGAAACTTGACGATGAACTTGTCTGATCGTAAGCCAAATGTAACTAGCTCCGCTGGAGCAATTAGACCAGTAAATACACATGGAAGAGGCAAAACTGGTTAGACAGTTCGTCTTTATTTTCTTGAATTAAATGAGAATTGGTTAGCTAATGAGTCGAATTTCATATATGTTTTCATTCCTCTCTCCTTCAAAACTTAGATATCTCCTTGCTAACATCTACTAGTCAGTTGTTTCGATGACTTTTAATCTCTTATTTTCAACCCTTCCCTACCTCTAAAACTGATAATTCTTATAGAGTAATGTTACTGTTTGTAAGAGACATGTCTTTCTTCTTAAAATTTCTACGATACTGTTTTATTTAAACCCAACTTACGTGAAAGGATAAGTAGGCAGTCTCATTTAAGCCGACTTCAAAGTGAAATATGCGCTGAGAATGTTACCTAGAAAGGCAATGACATCTGCGCCACTAAACCATCCAGCTCAGAGAACACAACTATAACAGAAAAAAACATTAATACCCCGAGTGCAACATACTACAGTCTCAATAGCACATCCTCATTTCATGCTGTTGTCTGTCTGTAGTTCTCATTAGCTGACTCTGTGATTGCCCGTAATCCTTCATCTCCTCCTCACATGATCTAATTCACATCACCCTCAAACACGTGTCTGACACGTTCTCCCTTTCGAGCTCCATCAAAATGCATGGTACACGATATCACTCAACGGAGATAGAGGCTAGAATACTGGACGATTATTTTCAGTTGTCTGACTCCCTAATGATTTGTTTCATTCAAGCACACTGAATCAGTTTATGCTGAAATTTTTCTACCAATATCATTCATTGTTAATTTTATTAACATAAACGTCGATCTTATACAGGATTAGTTAAACAGTTTGATGAGGAGGGTGTAGAAGATAAGGTGGCAGTTCAGTCAGTACAAATTCTAAGTAATACTCAGTATTTCTGGTTTCCACTGGACAAAATGAATCCAGGAATTCACTATGCTCACTTTTGTTTTTAATTAGACTTGTCTTTCAGCATATTCTTTAGATATCAGTTCGATTAAGCGTGGAACTGTTGGCTTAAAAAATGATTAAACGAAACCTTGCCATGGATGGATAGTTTTGCCGAGTTTACAAGCGTTGGATGAGAGAAGACCAGTGTTTGCATGTCTTCTTTAAATGTTGTGCTATATTTCAAATTCCATAGCAGTATACAATTCCCGCCTTTAACAGGTCCTTCTGACTTTAAATAGGTCCACCGTCGTCGAAGAAACAGACCATCCTAGGAAGGTAGTTACTTATAAGGGACGATAGGCGAATAGAGTACACCTTCAGAAGTAGATCATGTTTCAGACGTTTGGTTGTTTCTCTGCAGGATTGTTGTTTCGTAGTTTGTTGTATTTGTCAACACAATCAAACTGATGACCATCAACCGGGTGATAAAGAAGTGACACTGAGAAATCGTTGGAACGAAAATTTCATCGCAAATTTGAAATAATGGAGAAGTGTTAGTAGTTAAGATGGATTTTTTAATTTTTGTTATACTCTCTTGACCCGTACAGACCAGTAGTGAACCTGTCATTATTCTACTGGACAACGTATTGAGTTCTAATATAAATCCCGAGAAATTCAGATAACTGTGTCTCGATTTGCAGGTGGTGACTTAGCCACATCTATTAAAAATGTTAAATCACTGCACTTGTTTTCGGATGCCTTGGAGGTAGGGTTCGGTTCAGA